CCCTTGGCTGCTGTTGCTTCTTTGAAGATTTTTCTTTTATGATAAGTTTCTGACAGTTCGGCTCTGCTGTGTGTTGTCTTTAAATTTATCCTCTTTTTCTCTAATTTTTAATTAAAAATATTTTATTTATTATTTTTATTTTATGTACATGCATGCATTGCCAACATATAGGTAAGTGCGTCCGTGTCCTGCAGTGCTCATAGGGGACAGAAGAGGCCGTTGGATCCTCTGGAACTGGAGTTACGGACAGTTGTTAGCTGCCACGTGGTTGTGGGATTTGAACCCAGATCTTCTGCAAGAACAACCACTGTTCTTAACTGCTGAGCCATCTCTCCAACCCCTATATTTATCCTCTTTATTGCTGATTGAACTAGGACCTGTGAGTATGTAGCTTTAACAAGTTTGTAAAATTTTCAGTCTTTATTTCTCCAAATATATATTTTTTCCTCCATCTTACCTACTTATAGGACCCAATTACATGTTAGACCGTTTGTGTTCTCTAAGTTCCTTTGGCTTTCTTCTTTTAAAAAAATATCTTATTATTATTTTTTAAAGTCTTTCTAGTCGAATTTTTATGTATTTCATACAAAACATCTTAATCATCTTTATATATCTCCCCCATCTGCACCCTCCCATAGCCCCCACCACCCACCAGATTTCATGTATTCTGTCATTTATGTTAAGGCTTATTGGTATGCCAAAACTTCCCTCAGTGCAAGTTCATCCGCTGGGGTCAAGTCAGCCTATCGAGAGTCACTTTTATTATTTTTACTTGAGTATGAGTGCGTTGTCTGCATGTATTTAAGTGTACCCATGTTGTGCAATGCCCACAGAGGTCAGAAGCAAGGTATCAGATCCCCCAGCACTGGAGTTGGGGATGGTTGTCAACCACCATGTATTTACTAGGAATCCAACCCAGGTCCTCTGCAAGGGCAGCCAGTATGCTTGATCGCTGAGCCATCTCTCCAGCACGGGCTTGCTTCTTTTCTCAGCTTGGTTTTCCCTCTGTATGTTAAACTGGAGTTTTTATTGTTCTGTCTTAATTGATTCTTTCTTCTTCAGCGTTCAATGTGCTAGTTACCCCATCTAGTTAATTTCAAATTCCAAATATTGTATTTTGAGCTCTAGAAATTCTCAGAGTGGGGAATGTTAGAGTAGCCAAAAGCCCCATTAAAAAAAATAAAAGAAGAAGAAAGAGTACATGAAATAAAGGAAGACATAGAGGATCTTATCAGAAAAGAAATAGTCTCAAGATATGGGAAACAATATTTAAGGACCAACTTCTCTTTTCCAACAGAATCATTACAGAATTGCAGCTAAGACTACAAGTCTTAGATCTAGCTTGCTATTATCTTTCAGAGTGATTGTAAAATGAATTAACACATGTAAATAATTCATTGTAGAGCTTGTTCCATAATATATGTTAAAATATCTGCTTTAAAAATTAATTAATTAAAAATGTTTTCTATTTTTCTTCTCATGTGGTTTATATTTTTCTTTAACTCTTTGGAATGATAACTGTTTCAATTAATTGTCTTAATTCTAACACCTCTGTGATTTCTGGTATATTTCTAAACACTGATTATTTTACCAGTTGTAGCCCAGATTATCTTAGTTCTTTTTATATCTAATAACTGACTTCTGAATTGAGTGTAAAATATTAGATTGTTATATTTCTTTAGAGTATTGAGCTTTGTTTTGGAAGACAGGCTATTTTTTATTATTCAGTAGCCACCCCTCTTCACTTCTGATGGCTCATTTGGTTGTCAACCTGACTGGATTACAATCATCTAGATTAGTAAAGCACACTTTTGGGTGCGTCTGTGAGAGCATCTCCAGGGGTGATTTGATCCTGAGAACTCTTACATAATGTCTGGATTTATCCCTTGAAGGATTCATAGTCCGATTACATCACTGGGAGGTGGTGAGAGGTGGGAGGTGGGGCCTACTTGGAGTAAGTAGGTCACTCAGTATTCCTTGGGCCCCGTCTTTTTGGGGGAAGAGGGTTATAACTTGTTCTAGCCTTTCCTGTATCTCCATCTCCTTGTTTCCTCTGGAGCACAGCCTCTGCCGCGTCTCTGCAACATGATGTTCTGCTCAAGCGCATGGAGCATTCTGCCACAGAGATGGGAAAATAAAGGAATGTAGTTTCTATCGAATTCCCTGGACATTCAACACAGTCTCTTCAGTCTGGTTGGCATGACATGAATGCTTACCAGGCACATATAGGCTCTTATCATTCTGCTTACAGATCTGAGGTAGCTGTGTTTTGCTAGCTGTTCTCTGTGGAGTCTTGTGGAGTCACAACCCACAAATATAGAAAGACCTGAGGTCACCCATGAAGACATCAGAAGCTCTTTCTCCTGGAAGTTCTTTGACACTCTGCCTCTTAGAGGCTAGCCACCTCGCCCTCCCTTAATTTTGACTCCAGTTTTTTTGTCTCATCCTCTGGTTGCATTCTTTGTCCTGTTTGGGGTCTGGTCCAAGGCTGCAAGCAAACTCAGGAACTCAGTTCAGCTATTTTTCTTAAGCATCAGATCTGCAACGCTTGTTGTCTAGGATCTGAAAATGATTATTTCATAATTTTCCCTAGTATTGTAAAAGCTTTTAGTGACAAAGGTAGCTGGTACTCATAATTCCATCAGAGGCAGGATCCAGGGTACAGGAATCACTTCTAATGCAAATTTAAATAGTTGTCACAGAGTTAACAAGTGCTGACAACAAAACCAGATAGTGAAGCCCCAAGAGTCTGTCCACTTGCGATGTTTATAGGTGTTTGAGGACGGTGTATGACATTGGGTCAGGAGTTTTTTGAAAGATAAAAGTCCTCTAGAGGTTGGACCTCTTCCTCTGAGAGAAGAATGTCACAGCAATAATGCTTTGGGGATTACAGCTCCTTTTGTCCGTGAGCTCCAAGGCCACAAACTCAGTTACCTTGTCTAGTGATCATTAAAACAAATTCACAGAAGGGGAAGTTTATGGGGAATCCAGTTATGGTCATGTGACAATCTGTCCTTAGGAGTGAGTGGTGGTTGTGTGAAATCCACACTTATTCTCTCTTCAGGTTACAAATGACTCAGCATCCTAAGAGAAAGGTTGTTCAAAAGAGCTTCATAGAGTGCCCTGAGCCAACACAGTAACAGGAGGAAGGGGACTTGGACTTAGAAAGGTAAGGGCAAAAGAAATGGCAGTGACTGACACATTCAGAAAGGCTTCAGAGATGAAACGAGGCTAGGACCGTGTCATCAGGATGTCCCTCATGTCTAGGGAAACGAGGGCAGCCACTCAGGTTTAGAGAACATAAGAGGAGGGAGAAAGGGAGACCAAAACCGGAAAAACTGAGTCGCTAAATATTTTCTGTACCTATCCTTTACTAGGCACCAACAAGGGCAATTTCCCGTGTTCTCAGTGAGAGAGAATGTTGACACACATACATTTCCCTGTAATTAGGGAAGGAATCAAACGGCATATGTTCCTGCGTGGTTTCCATGGCTGCATCCTATTCTCTGTCTGCATCTTGGTGAGTTTCATTTTCTCATCCTCACCCTGGCTTCTCTTTCCTTGTGGCCTTCATGTCTACGGGTTCATTGTACCACTCCAGAAATACAGTATGTTCAGGGTTGGGGTGGGGAGGAGTTGGATTGCATCAGGGAAAGGATTCTAGGCACTAAGTCAGAAAAATATTTCTATTTGCCTTGTAGAGACAATTTATAGTCTTACAATACTGCTTATTTTCTAGGGAGTCAGTAACATTTTATGACATCACTGGGGAGGATTTTCAGATCCAGGCAGAATTGGGTAGGGGACAGTAGGAAGTCCATGGACTTGGGAGACACAGGAGTCATTCCAGATTTTAAATATTTTATTTATTGCTTTTTAGTTTTATGTGTATGAGTATATCGACTGCATGTGTGTAAGTTTACCCATGTTGTGTAGTGCTTAAGGAGTCAGAAGAGGGCATTGGATTTCCCTGGAACTGGAGTTACGGACAGTTTTGTTAGCTGCTATGTGGGTGCTGGGAATTGAAAGCGGGTCCTCTGCAAGAGCAGCCAGTGCTCGTAACTGCTGAGCCATCTCTCCAGCCCATGACATTCCAGATTTTAAATGCTCGCTATGCTACTCATTAGCTGTATGAATAAGTTACTTCATCTTCCTAGGAAGTGGTAGTGGAAGTGGGTTATTTTACTTAGAGTTATTAAAAAGATCAAAAGAGTAATTTTAAAAGGGCCAGTTACTAGATGCAGAACAGGTAGACTTTTACTAGCTTTTCCTTCTATGGTGCTATACCTCTCCCCCAAGTCACACAGGAGCATTAGTGAAAGAGACTAACTATGGAAATGCATTCTCTCTCTCCCTCTCTCTCTCTGCAGGTGCATCATGGAAAGTGTCATTTACTAGCAACTTGGAGTCACCTACTAACAGGCTTTGAGCAAATGGAACCCGAGGGTGCTCAGGTAAACCTCTCCCTTCATGTTTCTAAAGCTCTGTCCTTAAAAAGTACCATCATGGGGACTGGCGAGATGGCTCACCAGTTAAGGCCTGGGTTCAATTCCCAGCATCACACGGCAGCTAAAAGAAAATCTGTAACTCCAGTTCCAGGGATCCAACACTCTCTTCTGTTCTCTGAGGGGCATTGCATGCATGTGGTGCACGTATATACATGCAGGCAAAACACTCATACAATAAAAAAATAAATAAAATATTTTCTAAAAAGCACCATCTCTTGCCAGGCATGCACACCTTTAATTCTAGCACTCGGGAGGCAGAGGCAGGCAGATCTCTGTGAGTTCAAGGCCAGCCTGGTCTCCATAGCGAATCCGGCTAGCTGGGGGTACAAGGAGGACCTGTCTCAAAAAGAACCAAAAAAAAAAAAAAAAAGCACCATCTCTTGCCAGGCATCCACACCTTTAATTCTAGCCCTCGGGAGGCAGAGGCAGGCAGATCTCTGTGAGTTCAAGGCCAGCCTGGTCTCCATAGCGAATCCAGGCTAGCTGGGGCTACAAGGAGACCCTGTCTCAAAAAGACCAAGAAAAAAAAAAAAAAAAGCACCATCTCTTCCACTTTCTTGGGCCTCCTTTGGACTAGATGAGGAAACTGACCCTGAGGTACTTTGTTCTAGATTGCCAAATCCTTCACCACAGTGTTATCTGTCCCTCACTGTCATCAGTACTTGGTCATATGTCAGCCCGCTTCCAGGAAGTGACGTCTCCATGAGGCTCCAACTTGGAGGGCCAGGGGATCCCAGAGTTGATGACTCCTCCCTGACTCATTTTGGACCCCGGGGTTCAGATGTTTGGGAGTCCCTCTGATTACTGAGCTGTGACTTTCACCTTTTGTGAACCTGCCTTCTGGCTGCTATGTGGTGATCATGAAGCAGGACTTGCTAGGCAAAAACATGGCTCAAACTGATGGCTGAGGGGCCTAGATATTTATCCACCATTGATTATTCCTCAGTGGTTCAAAGTGGCTCTTTCCTGAGGGCACTGGCTTCCTGTATAGACTGGCCTGCTTTTGTCACTAGAGAATTCCCTTGAGCAATAAGACACAGATATTTGAAGTAAGACGCTGTCATCATGCAGGGAACTATTGGTGATACTCAGGGTTGGCAATAGCCTCATTGCAACCTCTAATGTGATTATCAAGTTAACATGTACGTTAGATATTTTCTGAGCAAGTAGTACATGCTTGGTGTCATTCTGGAAATTCTGTGGCTCTTGGATATCAACAAGATGAGCCATCCTAGTTCTCAAGGTACAGAGACTATCATATAGAAGACATAACAAATGCCAGAACATCTCTGCCCTGCCCCAAACAGCCCAACAATTTCATGCTTCTCCCTCACATGTTTCAAATATGTCCACACACCTCCAACCCCTACCTCACCCCAGAACCCTGCTCAGCTTCACTTCTACTTTTTAACCTTGCAAGGCCACATGGGTATTCTGAGACACCGCAGACATGCCAAGTCCTCCCTTTCCTGTGTTTCCTGTCTCAGGAAATGACTTCATTATCTATCCATTTGCACTGAAATTCAAGTCTCATCTTCCTTCTGGCCAACTACTTTCCCATTTAGATGTGGCACCCATCTAAATGGCTACTAATGATAACACGGGTACCAAACACTTGACTATTGCTGGCATGCTAGTCCAATCACTTTGCATGAATTAGCTCACTGAATCCTCACAACCTTGAAAGGTACATGTTTTCACTGAGCTGTTTTACTGATGAAGAAACTGAGGCTAGGAGAGGGTGAGCCACCAGCCAGCAAACAGAAAAGCCAGGATAGGACCAAGCAGCATGTGTCCACAGCTTGCTCTCTCCAACAGTGTCATCAGTGTAGTAGGAGAGCCAAGTATTAAACCAAGAATTCTACAAATAATCATCTAATTACCATGGTGACGAGTTCTTTAAAAGAGAAGAGCAAGAAGCTTTGTTTGCCTAAAGTAGAGGAAATGTTTCTCTGGCCTGACATTGAGGCTGTGGGGCTTTTCCTCATGGCATCAACAGGAGAGGGCCTTCTGGAGGGAGGAACAAGTGTCCACCATGGACTCTAAGAGATCCACACTATTGTCATACTGCCGGTCCCTCCATACACATAAATGGCTTTAATATATATACATACATATATTATTTTTTATTTTAGGTGTATGAATATATTGCCTGCATGTGTGTGAGTGCACTCGTGTCATGCAGGGCTGCGGAGGTCAGAAGAGGGCATCGGATTCCCCTGGAAGTGGAGTCAAGGATGGTTTGTAGCCGCCATGTGGGTGCTGGGAATTGAACCCGGGTCCTCTGCAAGAGCAGTCAGTGCTCTTAACCGCTGAACCATCTCTCCAGCCCCACCACAAATGGATTTAAAATAAAAAAATTCACCTGCTCTCTTTAATATACAATGGGCCTGGTGCCCTGTGACTTGATTTTGTTCCATTAGGAAGTTGTTCTTATTTCTCTCCTATTCTCTAGACCAAGGATTGACATCTTTTTCTGTCAAGCAGTAAGTCCTTTAGGCTATGTAGGGCCATATTGCCTCTCTTCAGTTCTACAATGCTTCAGCTCTGCTGCAGCGCTGTAAAAGCAGCCATAGACAGGGATATAAACAAGTCTAGCTGCTAGGGATCAGTATGGAGTTTCCTCAAAGAACTATCCTATGATCCAGTTGTACTACTCCTGGGCATGCACCTGACTGAATCAAAGTCAGTTTACTCTACAGAGTTACCAGTACATCCGTGTTTATCACAGCACTATTCACAATAGGCAATGCATGCCATCAGCCTCGTAACTCATCTATGGACAAAAGGGTAAAGGAAATGCAGCACGTACACACAATGGCGTATTTTTTTTAGCCACAAAGAAGAATAAAGTTATGGCACTTGCAGGAAAACAGATGGAATCGGAACTTACCATGTTAAGTAAAATAACAGAAAACAAAATAAACAAAAGAAGAAGATCTGAGAGGAGAAGGGAGGCTTAGGGGAAGGAGGGTGAGCATCAGAGGGCAAGTGAACACAGTAATGAGGAGAATACGATCAAAGTGCCCTATGTATGAAAATGAAACCAACTGTTTTGTTAATATACCCCATTAAAAATAGCAATGGGCAGTATATAATGGGCTTTTAAAATGTTTTCTTATTTTATTTTATGTGCATGAGTGTATTGCCTGCATGTGTGTAAGTACCTCTGTGTTGTGCAATGCCTGCAGAGATCAGAAGAGGGCGTCAGATCCTCTGGAACTGGAGTTATGGATGGTTGTTAACCACTATGTGGGTGCTGGAAACCAAACCCAGGTTCTGTGCAAGAGCAGTCAGTGCTCCTAACCACTGAGCCATCTCTCCAGTTCCTCAGTATATAATGAGCTTTATCGGCGGTATTCCAACAAAACTTTACTGATAGTCACTGAAGTCCAAATTTCCTGTAATCACTTCATGTCACAAAGTATTCTTCTTTTGATTAACATTTAACATTACAAAACCCATTCTTAGCTCATAGGCTGGCTATACAAAAACAAACAGAAAGCTGGATTTGGCCTGCAGCTGTAGTTTGCTGACCTGCCCCAGATCCATATGCATAGTTCCTGCATAGACAGCTCTCTCTTCTTTGCTCCATAAATTCCCTGAAAAATTAATGCCTCAAAAAATCATCTCGTTTCCCCCAGTGAAACCAAGCCTTTTTCTTGATGTCCATGCTCTGTGTTATCTCCCCCCAAGGGATGCTGGAGCAGGATAAACAGAGAGAAGGAAGCAGGAGAACCACTGTTCCCACAGCGAGGCTGCTGCCGCTTCTCCAAGGTGCCCAGCACATTCTGGCCTTTGCAGTGCTTGCCCCAGCCCCCTCATCCTCTTTCCCAATGAACTTTCCCTGACTTGTGTCTGCTCTTTGTCATTGTTTTGTTACCTCCCACTGGTCACCACCTCTAATCTGCCTTCCATTCCATTGCTCTACAAACAGTTCCCACAGAGGTCACCTGTGAGAACAGTGACTTCTGTTCTCAGCTTACTTGGGGACACAGCTGTCCCTCTCCTAGATGCACTCCCGCGGGTTTGGAAGCTCATTCTGCCTCCTTTGTGCAAGTCCCTCCTCTTCCTGGTTTGCACAGGCTGAATTCCTGAAGGCTGAGTCCATGGCCTGCCTGTTCTCCTTCCTCTAGTTTCTCTACTTGCCGGGTGATCCTGTACTTCCTCTTTGAATTTTCCCCAACCTACCCAACAGTTCCTCTCCAATGTCTTAAAGTTCCTCAAATGCTACATGTGCCAAATCGAAATCATTTCATTCGCCCCACTATCCATTCAGTGTAAGCACAGTTACTGAGCACTTGTTTTCAGTGTACTAATGGCTAAGGACACAATTTGGATAAAAAGAGACTCTGCCTTGGGAGCATATAGTCTACCAGGAGACCACTTTTAGCCTCTCTGACACACCGCAGCTTATATCTCTGTCACAATGGCCCCTTCCTACTGTTCTTGTCTAGGTAACAGGACATCCAACCAGTCCTGGAAGTCCTTCACATCTTTGTTATCAACCCTCCACAATCTATCTTCTATTCTGGTTGACTTACCCTTGTGTCTCTTGACTCCAGCTCTCCCCAGCCCCACGGCTGCTTTCTCATCCCTCCTCCTCCATATCTCCAGCTAGATCTCTGCTTTCACCTCTTGCAATCTTCATTTTTCCAAAGTCAGGTGCTCACCTTGCCACACAAGGCTTCCCTCTGCACAAGGACACGAGGAGAAACCTTTCCAGAACCCAACGGTGTAGAATCAAGTGTAGGGACTTCTTAGCTAGGCCTTGACGATTCTACCTGCCCTTGCTGACTCCTGCTCGCTTGTTTTCCACACACGGTTCCGGTTCCATCACATGGACTGTCCCTTCCCGTCCTCTTGCCGTTCCTTGCTGCCCACACATTCTGACCTTGAGCTTGCCTCTCTCTGTTATGAATCCTACAGTCCCCCTTTCTGTCTGG